TAGGAATCCCTTTAACTCCTTCCAAAACTTCTGATCCTTCTAAAGATCGCGAACATTGCGCATTTTTGTGTTCCTCAAAAAAATGTGAAATGAATGAATTGTGTCCTTCAAAGTGTTTTTAAAAAGTACAGGCTTATGGCATATAGACACCGTTGACACATATTATAATTTTTTGACACCGGTTGTAGAATCCATTATGAACCACAAATTCCAAATTTCACACAAATCTATTAGAAAATGTGACTTAAATCGTTAAAATACCGAATATCCGAAGGTAACGTTATATGTGCGCTATAGGAAAACGTGGACCTAGATATTCAATGTTCTGCCACCATAACTAGAACCCATTACAAATTATAAATACCAATTCTTAGTCAAAATGGAAAATGTGGGTAAAACCGTCAAAACACCGAACCGTTATACGCGGGCTATATGAAAACGTGAACCTACAATGTGAATGCATGTCGGAGTTAGAACCCATTACGAACTACAAATACCAATATTTAGAAAAATCCGTGGAAAAATGTGGATAAAACCGTCAAAACACCGAATATCGGGAAGCACCGTTACATGAAGCTATACGAAACGTGGATCTATATAACCAATATTCTATCACCTAAGCTGGAACCCATTACTAACAAAAAATACCATTTAAAAAAAAAACCGTGGAAAAATATGGCAAAGATCATCAAAATACAGAATATCGGGAGGTACCCTTATATGGTTTACCTATATATACAATGTACCGAAACTGGAGCTAGAACCCATAACGAACTACAAATATCAATTTTTAGATAAATTGTTGAAAACATTTAGCTATCAAAAAACGTGGACTCATTTTTAATACCAACCATCCTAGACACAATACAAACTACTGTGCCAAACTTAAAAGCTCTACGTCAAAAAATATTGGCTGTATCGTGATTTCAACAGGCAGAAGAAGAGACAGACAGACAGACGGACATTGTTAAATCGACTTAGCATTTCATGCTGGTCATGAATATATATACTTGATGGTGTCTATGGCGAATATTTGGAGGTGTTACAAACGGAATGATATATTTAATATAACCTCCTTTCCAAAGTTTATGAAAGTTTCCGAGTCCACTGAAATGATCCTATTATATTGATATTTAATTCCTCTGTCTCTCTCCCTCTCTCTCTGGGAGTCCATTTAAAAATCACTAAAATGGTCTATGTTTATGGACCTTGTGGATTCTTTCAGAAAATTTTAAGATCCACGTTTGTGTTCGTATTTGGTATTTTTCAAAAATCCCTCAAAATCCAATTTTATGCAGGACTTTTGGTCCATTCAATTTCGTTTGCGTTTATGAACCCCTGTGGGTTCTTCGAAAATCGTTAAAAAAAATCCACATTTATATATGTCTGTGTCTCCTCCACCAAATCCCACTCACTCCTGTTCCTCTTAACTCCCCATTTGCCTATCCAAGTATGCAGAAAACAAAAAAAAAAAAGAAGAAAACGTTGTTAAGATTTGTTTGCAAAAAAAGCTATTCTCTAACAACAACAGCTATACATTTTATAAAAAAAGAAACATGTGTATAGGCTGCAAGTAAAAGGAAAATAGCAACAACAACGGCAGCAGCAAAAATAACTTTATCACAAAAATCGTGTGAAAGCGATAACTACTTTAGTTAAATTTGATGTGTTTGCTTTAATGTTTATACATGCATGTATGTAGAAATGTGTAGCGGTTGTTATGCCAGAGTATATTCATCAAGTCAGTTGGTGTGGTGATACACATCTGAAATTGTTAATGATGAAGAAGAAGAAAAGCAAACAAAAAATAATCTTGAGAAGTTTTTATTAATTTTTTAAATAAGATAGGAATTAGTACCTCTCCCCATCTCTACAGTTTTAAAGTATGTATAATACTGTTAATTTATTAAAAAACAAATGAATGTGTTGTTGTTTTAATTTAAAAAATTTTATTACATTAACTAAAAATAGAATTAAAAAATACATATTTAACGACATATATGATAAAAAAAAACATGTTTATGGTACTCGCGTGGCTGTCCAAACATTTGTAAAAGAATTCGGAGCACTATAATAAAAAAAAACAACTTAGTGAAGACTTTTGGTTTTTCAAACTATAGCAAAAACTATGTTTACAGTGTCCATTTCTTTCTTTGCCGGGCATAAGAACCCGATCCAAGCGTTCTCATTGGACCCCCTAAAAATATTAAAAAGTATACCTTTGTTTTCTAGATTGAGTCCTTCAAAAACCACATTCATCGATCTCTTTTAGACCTTCTCACTTTTGTAGATACCCTCCTTTGATCCTCAACAGTTTCAAAACTCCAGATTTTCATTTATCTTTCAAAAAATGTTTAACATCTTGTCATCTTCCTTATTCGTGCGCTCTGTTCCTTAAAAATAAAATGCCTATATAGACTGAAAAAGAGCGAAAATTGCGAGAGTTGATATATAGAATAGGACTGGCTGAACAAGTGGGCTAACACAGTACGTACATATCTACATCTTCATGATGAAACTTCTTCAAAAACAAGCAATGTTGAATTGATGGATTTATGATCACAATTTCTTTGAAAACATTCTCTTATTATTTCGCACTCCACGTTTTGGATTTAGGTTATTTTATGTTCACTCGTTTTTGCCTTAATTTTATTCCCAGGCATTATCTTAAACAAAGTTGTCAGCAGAGATAAAAAGGAAATTAAATTAACAAATAGCAAGACTGCTCTTGCTAATGTTACTTCAAACAGTGAAATGGGAATAGGTGTTCTTAAACAGATACGAGAAAAAGAAAATGATCCTAACGTGAAATATTATTAAGACGGTTAAGCGTGTACTTAGATTTTTTTGGGGGCGTGTGTGGCGGTGAATGTGTTTCCCAGAAATATTATCGAATTCTTCAAGGCAAGGCGGGCAATCAAATCAAATCTCAATTTCTTAATGCTATTTGATTGATGATTTATAATAGGGTTTGCTTGGCTACCACCACACGCTCTCCCTCTCTCTCGCTCCAGACTGGGGGTACAACACACAGCTCGCACACACAACTTCTCGTTTTTTTTTTGAACATGGTGATGATAACAAAAGTAAACCTAACAAATGAAAAGAAAAAATAGCAGCAACAACAATGCCCAGCAATTAAATAAATTTATGATGATGTTGTTGTGGCGGTGCATAAACTTACTTTGCAATTTTGAAATGAAAGAAACAACAACAAATCGTCGGATATTAAGTTAGGAGAGTTTTGTTTTTTGTTTTAATTTTAAAAATGTATTTTTTTTGACTTATCGTTTTCTTTTTGTTTCTTAATAAAAATAATCAACAATTGTTCTTAGAGTTAAAAAAAGATAATAAATCAATATCGCTGGCAAATATCGAAACAGCATCGATATTTACAAAAAATATATATTGCATTTCAACGAAAAATAGTCGTTGTCCCAAAAAATATTTTTTTTCTTTCCTTAATATGTTAAATAGTACATTAATGTATTCATAACAAACTAGTGATATGGGGGTTGTTTTTTTTTTTTCAGTTTAGTTGACGCTATCATTGTTACAAAGATTCGCGCGATACTGTTCGGAACGACTATTTCCTATGTAATATAGTTTGGTAAAATGAATTTGCTTTTTCTATATAAACTTAAAAAATAATGCCTTTTTTCTTTGTATATAACTTAAAACAGACAACGAAACAAATAAAAAATACAAAAAACACAATTTTCTTAAAAAAAAAAAATAAAAATACAAAAAAATAATACAAAAAGTTGATGCAAACAAATTTTAAAATAGAATTTAAAAATTTGTCAAAAGTAATTTGGCCGCCGTTCCTTAACAACAATAATAATAATCATAATAATAAAAATAATTATAATTAACAATAATAATAAAAATGTATATGTGTATAATATGTATATGAAGTAGTCATTGCTTTTTCGGTTTTTTGTTTGTTTTTGCGTTTATCTTTGTATTTAAAGTACATGCGTATGGGTATTAACATAAGTCCTATGGTGGATTTGGCGGGGAGTGGGTAATTTTAGTTTAGCTGAATCTGTGCGATTTGTGATTTATCTACAGACTTGAATAACTTTTTTTGAGACCTTTTAAAGTAAGATATAACCTGACCATACGATTGTAATAGCACCAAAGAGTTAATATTGTCCAAGTAGCCCAAGTAACTTCAAAGAATCCCAAGTAACTACAAAGAATCTTTTACTCAAATATATATCAAGAGATTTTTATAAACCGATTCTTGTAATCTTTTCTATTTTTAGCTTAAAATTACTAGTTTATTACGAAGTGAAAAAGTTGCAACTTTTCTCAATTTAAGTACCGAAGAATAACTCAAAGGTTAGACACCTGAAATTCCATAAAGGAACCACCAACAGGATTTCAGAGTGTGAATTCTACATAAAAAATTGATGAAAAATCAAGATAGTTTCTGGCCAGGGGCTGGATTCTTGTTCTATGAATATATGAAATGAAAAATATTTCCTTTATAATATTTTTCATTTGACATTTCATTCCTTTATAAAAGTTTTCATTTCACATTTTCATAGAACAAGAATTGAGGCCCAGTTCTTTCCTTATTCTATAGTTTATGTTTCTGGAAAAACAAGAAAATTAATGAGCATTCTCTCTATTTTAGCTCTACTTCCAGGTTTCATCCATGATCCATTTTGGGAAAAACTTGAAGGGAGATATATCGATAAGAAAATACATAGATTTTATTGAAGAAACTATTTATTTTATTTTTGTAAGTGAATAGCGACGAATAGAATCTACCGATAAAATAAATGAGCTTCCTAGGATTTGCTGTGGTTTTGAAACATTCTATAGATAGACAATTTTCGGAGGTATTTTATAAGCCGCCTGGAAATTTGCTATGTCTAGTGTTCTTTATGCGTTTTTTTATACATGGAAGTCCCGTAGATCTTCTCCCCTCTTTCAGTTGTTCTGGAGGTCTTCTATACAAAGAATAATTATAAAATTGTCTTTGATGGTTAGAACATACAATGATTACCTTTAAATTGTTGTTGTTTAAAAAGAAACAATGGAAAGCGCCTACTTTTCCGCTGAATTATCACTTCCCTTACTCCGATACCGAACTGGAACTTATTTTGTTTTGCTATTATTCTACATTTTAACTTCTGATTTCGATTGAAGAACCACAACATAATCTAGAAAATAAGTTAGATTTAGATAGCACTCATCAAGACAAAATTTAAAAAATCTCGTTTAAGGTTACAAGAATGTATTTTTATAAGACATTTCCAACCTGGAATGAGTTCTTTTTTGTACATTTTCGATCATCCACTCGGGACCATGTCAACCAGGCAATTATCCTAATTTAAACTTTAACGATCTTAAGATAGCAATCCTTTTTTCAAAGTGGAACTTTCGCGTGCCTGACACACTAGTTACCCTTACAACATCCATTGAAAAGTTCATACTTCAACTTCAAACATCTAACAAGAAATCGATTTAGAAAAATTTGCATTGATTCGAGAGTTCGTATTCGGACATTGCGTGTATCTACACAAATAACAAAATTCACCTATAACAAACAAACAAAATAAAAACATAACAAATTAGTATCACATTTCAACAGCTAAACTAAAATTCAAATACATCCCCCCGCCTGTAAAAAAGTTAAAAATTATGGATGGTCGTGGTGTCAAAAACACTCACACATATAAACTACTATACATAACTTATTTTTATTACGTTTTGAGCTACAGTTTAACTACTTTTTTTAACCATCCAAAATGATGCATATTTGAGCAGCGCTAACTTTTCCTCTCGTTTTTTTGTTAATATAGTTGGAAGTTTTTGTGACATTACAGCAGCTAGCTACCTGTTACCGTCAAGGCATATCAATATCCAACGTATCCGGTGATAACAATAACGATTCATTGGGACCCGATGTAACCATGCCCAATTGATCGCCCATAATGGCATGTGAGAGATCTACAGAATGATGATGAGGATGCGTAGGATCATCGTTGTCATCACGCATATGATGCAAATCGTTGTGATGATGATGTTGCGTTGGGTCCAAAGTATCTAAATGACTTTGTCCGTCCAGGGTGTGTTGATGTGATGACGATAGTAAGGGATCACGACCATGTTGTAGGGAGGAAGGCGATGTTGGATAACTGTCGCTATGATGATGATGGTGGTGATAATGCAAATGGCCACCTTCACCCACCGATAATAAACCAAAATTTGGACTGCTGCCCGTACTGCCATTGCTGGGACTTGGAGGACATTGTAAAAGACTGGAACTATTCTGATGATGATTGTGTTGGTTGTGCTGGTGATGTTGCCCAAGATGCAAATGATTATGGGAACAGTTACAACTGCCAATTAAATTACAGCAACTGTTATTTAACATAAGAGAGCTGCCATTTTCATTGGTCCCGCAACAGCTTGGAGAGTTTGTATAGCCACATGAGCCGTTGTTATTGTGAACACCACCAGAGGGCGAGGGCATTGAGGAACCAACACCACCGCCACCACAAACATATAAATCATCAATGGACAAATTGTGGTGACCGCAATCATTACCATTCGATGAGCCAAAGCCATGTAGACTACTCGCCAAACTGTTATTGTTGTTGTTGCAGTTGGTGTTGGGGGAATGAGGAGCTGAGGACATTAACTGCACACCATTTTGCGCCGAAAACATCGGATCATCACCTTGCATTATCACAGGTTTACTATCCTCCATCATATCATCGTTGGTGGTATTAATACTGAGACTGTTTTTAGTGTTGTTGCTGTTGCCACCATTTAGTAGGTTCGGTGGTGGTTTTGTATCCGCATTTGTTGTTGGGGCTGTGGCTTCATTTATCAACGGTGTCGAATGATGATTCAATGAAGAGGCTGCTATCGCTGTGGCTGTCGCCGACGTGGGACTAGGACACTTTAAATATGAGGCACTATTGGTGGGAGCTGATACTGAGGTCACATTGAAATCACTCAAAGGCAAGCCGTGTGATTTGGCCTGCATTTCCAATTCCTTAATGCGGTTGAGCAATCGACGATTCTGCGCTTCGGTTTGACGAAAACGATACTCATTCTGCTTCAAACGGGCCACTTCATGTTTCAGACATTTAATATAGTCCACAGAACTTTTCAATATGGTACCTTTGTTGGGCCGTATATCTCTGACAACCTCATAGTAGGGGTCATTGGTTTTCGGTAGCAACGTGCCCAGCTCCTTGATCCGATCATTTATGTTAAAACGACGACGTCGTTCGATCATATTGTGATTGTCTTTCTTTTGGCGATCCTTGGCCAAGGCACTGGCCTCGACTTCATTAAATGAATTGGGTTCTTGTTTGACTTGAATCTCGGTTGGGTAGCTGCCACTGGGCGTTGTGGCCGCACTGTTATTACCCTCATCCATTTTCATGGTGTCGTTGAGATTGCGCGAATCACAACCATGCAGAATCTCATCGAAATCCAAATCTGCATCACTTTCAAACGATGGTATTTCCGAGTTGCTTGTGGCCACTGAGCTAAGCCCAGGTGACATGGGTGTTGAGTGTAGGGGACTGGTAATACTGCCCGGACCCGAACCATTGGTGGTGGCTAAGAGATTTGTATTACGCATAAGGGTTACCAAGTTGTTTGGATTTGAGCGGCTTTGTAGGGAGTTGGATTTTTTACCATTTACTTTGGAGTTTTGTAATTCAGTAACTGAATTGAGGTTATTATTGTTGTTGCTGTTATTGTAGTAATTGTTGCCGTTGCTACCGACACTAAAGGGTGACAGGGTAATGGCATCATCCATCATGGATGAGCTGTTGGGAGTGTTAGATCCAGCTGGTGTTATGCGCACATGCCGAGGTGAGGCATTGTTTTCATTGTTGCTGTTGTTGACCATACCTCCGCCACCGGTATAACTGCTAGAACGATCCTGTTGATTGTTATTGCCACCAATTAGTTTAAGATTTCCCGCCGAAGCTGAGGCACCCGTGTGTTTGTTCTGAAACAGTTGACCACTCCATTCGGACTGTTTAAAGGATTCACTTAAATACTGACGGACCTGATTCTTTTGTTTTTGTATCACATGGTAACGCGTGGGATTCTCAAGTACTGTGCGCACCTGCAGCACCTGTTGAGGAACATCCACCTCGATATTTTGTAGAGGTACCTTTAATGTCATTGGACTGGAGGATTGTGGTGTGGTATTAAAACTATTGTTGGAATTGTGACTGTCGAAGCGGTTGCGATTGCCGTTGCTGCCATTACTGTTAGCCACAATTTGTGGGGAACTACTTTGTTGTATATTGTATATTTGCTGCTGTTGTTGTTGCTGCTGCTGACGTTGTTGTTGCATTTGTTGTCGCTGCATTTCTAAAGCCTCAGCTTCCCGTTTTTCGGCTTCCAAGCGTTCCATTTCCTGTTGCTGCTCACGTTGCAATTGCAATTTTAGCTGTGTCCTTGAGGTGGGATTGACAGTTTTAAAGGTCGGAATACTATCGGGTCGTATGGATTGCGTTGCAGATTTCAATTCATAGAATTCCACCTCATCAGAATGAGGTCCGGAAACCTTGACCGCTGGCAATACATCTTCCAGCTTGTCTTCATCCATTAGACATTGATAGTCGATTTCGAAGTCGAAATCCAAATCGATCCCTGATTCAGCCATTTTTCCAGTTGTTGCTTTTTGGCAATGATGAGTGTGCGTGCGTTCGAACTAGTTTGTATGAGCGAGTGTACGTGTGTTTGCTGTTATTTAAAAAGGGCTTTATAACAATTGAAGTTGGTGGGGGTGGTGGGTTGGTTGACTCGTACTCGCAATCGCTATCTTGCACTCACACTCACTTTGTTGCGCTCTCTCTCTCTCTCTCTCTGTATTTTGCCAGAGGAACTTTTAATACTTTTAGTTAGTTTTCTTTTTGTTTTGTTTAAAGATATTCCTTTTTTGTTGATTATATATAAAATTCTTTTAACTATACGTCGACGACCACCACTACCTTCGACGCAAACATATTATTTTTCTTTTATTTATTTTGTGTATACGACGAACAGGAGACGACAATGGTGGCGGCAACGATCACTAAAACCATGTCGGCGACCACGACGGACGACCAGACGGGCCAAGTTGGTGATTCTTATATCTTTTTATAATGCCAAAAGAAACAAAAAAATATCTGATAGATTATCACAAAATTTCACTGACTTTGATTTCGGCGTAAGTTTTATTTGCTCACTTTTGCTTGTTAAAAAGAAAACATTTATTGCACCATATTATCTTTCGCCTCTGTTTCTCTCACTTTCCACTCTCTGGTGGTTATGTGCTGTATGTAATTTACGCCTTTTGTTGTTGTTATAATTCTTATTGTGACGGCAGTAAAATTCCTTTACTTTATATTTATTCCACACACCACCAACAATTTGAGTTTCCAAGAAGAATAAAAACAGCCAAAAATACCAGCAAGCAAGTGTTGAAAAAATCCCATTCGAACAGAGAAAATAAAACGTAAAATTAAAAGATGACGATTTGATGAACAACACGGCACGATCAGAAGTAAATAACTTTGACATTCCCCTTCAAGAGGAGAATGAACGAACGTACGGGACGAACATTAAACGACGATAGTCAATTTGAACTGCCATGGGCATTTGAGCATTACCATATCACTAAAAAAAATTATCGAGCCGTGAACAAATGAATGAATGAATGGATTCTCGATTCTCTCTTTCTGGCTACTGTCACTTGTCAACCAGCCCAACTGGCCAGCCAGATAGCTAGGTAGCACAGGTGTAAGGTGGCAACGCGTGCTATGTTTGGGTTATGTAAGTTTACGAGCGAGCGAGCAAACACATCAAAGCTTTTGTACAATTATTTTCATGGAGTGTGCGGGGGACAAGTGTATTTATTTTTCTTTTCTTTTGTTATACATTTCTTTTGATTGTTTTAAAGTATTTTGTTTTCCATTCGTTCGGCACTCTTTCACGACGTATTGTTCTTTTGGTGAGTTTCAACGCGGCAATGTTTGTTTTTTCCGATGGAAAGATCCCGGACTCTAGCACACAATAGTAAGAAGACGAATTGCTCGACTTTACACACGATACACGATCAACTTACTAGTTTTTTAACGTTCACCCCCCAATTGACGGTCTTTCAATGGCAATAGTGTTGCCAGAGGGTTGTGGGAGTTTATGGATATCGATCTTTGGGAATTTTGTAAATTACTAGGAACGTAACAATGGATCTTTTAAAATTTTATTAAATTAACAAATAGTCGTCAGGACAAAACACCTAAACACCATGTCTAGGTTTGAAATGAGAAATCACCCATTATTCCGGGATATCATCAATGTTTCCATTACTAGTTAACCGCATTGGCACTTGTTTCGCCGAAAAGGCGAATTGTGACAGTTATGTTACTGGGAGTTTAAAGATACTTACTGGAAAAACTTGCAATTTAAAACCATTTTTCACTTTCAACATTTAAGAAGTAAATATTATTATATTCATCGAAGTGCATAATCCAAATGTGGTGGTTTACAAATTTGTACACTTTTCGCAGAAAAATGTGAAAGCACTAGAAGGCACCTTATGCGGACACTAATACCTCTAATTCGTCGAATAGTTCATCTATTTAGCAAATCTGTATACTAAAAACTTATGTGGCAACCAATTCTTACATACAACTTGGTCCATATTTTCAAAAACCTTTTCTTTTTCCTTTAAACGAATCCCCACTCTCTAACATAACATCTCAGATATGGCAACATCAGATAAAATCTCTCTGCTTCTTCACACACATAAATAAACAAATTAGCACAAATTAACACAGACGTAATAACAAATTAACACAATTATTACCAATTCAAATTCAACACGATTTAACTCCCTCAAGATAACTTTTATTTTTTGGTTGTTTGTTGGTCGGTCTGGTTGGTAGCACATTTTATGCTCAATGCTCACTTATTTGTTGTTATGTGCATTTAACGGCTTGTCGGCTTGAATCGATCGGCCGAAACTCCACTAATTGGCAATTGAGATGGAGAGAGTAATTGTATTGAATTTATTTTCTTCTTTACGAAATCGTGTTTCTTATAAGAAAATGATCTCCAATTATATCAATACGATATAATTTAAATAAAATAATGTAATAATAACATTCAGTTTGATCATAAGTAATAAATGCCTGTTATTTTAATAAAAATTGCGCTGAAGAGTGCAATGTAATTAATCAGTGCATTTGAAATTGTTAATACACGGGTTTTCCAGTACATTCTAGTTTCGTAAAGTTTTGCATTTTACGGCTTACATCAATTTACAGATGTTCAGGTGGCAACACCTTTCTTGTTTACTCCACAATCTGGTTGCGCATACTTAATAATGCCATGTTCCGATTATCGTTGTTCCATCCATACGTAAATTCATATGCAAATATTTGTTTTATTCCAGAATCTACTAGTTTTGAAATGTTTTTCGATATCAAAAGGTTATCGTAGTAAAAATGTTGACATTCTTGCAGTTCTGTAACTGAACAATTGTTAGGAAAGTAGTTGGTAGATTTCGGTTTGTTCCAGAACTGCAAAAATTTAAAAATGTTTACTACGATAACCGATTTTTCCTTTATTATATCGAAGAAAATTGCAAAACTAGTGGATTCTTGCATGTACTGGAGCATTATTTTTCGTTTATTTTATAAATTTGAATTGTAACGTAAATTTCTACTTTATTCAATATTAGATTGCAACAACAATTTCCCCATCTCAACAATCTCCACCTCTTTCAACACGATTGTTATTATTGTATATATCCTAAATTTCTTTTTACATTGCAATGTAGAATTATTAGAAGGTAACAGCAAACAACAGCAAATACAATTCAACATGGTAGAAGAATATAGGTATACGCGTCGACACAGCTGCTGAGACAATGAACTGTCAAACCAATTTTGCAATTGAAAATGTTAAATGAAAAATTATTTCAATTTGTAAAAATTGTTGAAAACGCGGATTATAATAACCTCCGAATGACGTCGTATAAGAAAACATATAAAAATCTACTTACATTTGAAAAAACATTTACAATTTTTTGACATATCAATGCTTCCAAGCGTTGATGCATCTACCTGTATTCTTCTGCCACGCAATTCAACAACAATAACATAGATATTAATTGTTGTAAATAAAGCTAATGGCTGAAATTCGTAAATATTTTTGCAACGGCCACAAAACACTTTTTTCCATCAGTTAATTTTATTAGATAACTCTTGCTGAGAAAAATGTTCAGTGAGATTTTGCAAACTCTCAGCATTTCGTGACATTTTGAGTTATCGAACAAAATTTTGTACAAAATATAGGGTTATCGTACACACATATTGGGTTGTATAGTCGTTTGTAAATACAGAGTAATTGTTTTTTTAAGACAATAACATGGTAGAAAAATACGCAGCTGCTGGGACAATGGTCTGTCAAACCGAATTTGAAATTAAAAATGTTGAATGAAAAATTTTTGATATTTGTAAAAATTGTTAAAAAAATGGGTATCATAACAAGCTCCGATTGGTGTTGTATAAGAAAACGTATAAAACTCTACTTATTTTTGACAAAACATTTTAACAATTTTGACATATCAATGTTCCCAAGCGTTGATTTATCTACCTATATTCTTCTGCCATGGACAATCATTCAAAATTTTCAATTTTAAAATTGGTTTGACAGTTCATTGTCCCAGCAGCTGTGTCGATGCGACTACCTGTATTCTTTTAGATAGTAAACATTTAAATGACAACATGCTCTCTACTGTCATCGTCACTGTCTAAGACATATAGACACAAATAATTGGCAAACAGATGCTGCAACAAACACAAAAACTTATTTTTTACTTGACTGGACGTTTGTTTACTAATTAAGTGCAATCGTTCAAATATGGACAAAAAACGAATAAAACGAGAGCGTATTCTAAAATGCATTTCACTGTATCGAAAACATGAGTGTTTATGGAATACAAACAGTGCCACATTCCGCCAAAATAGGATGAAGATTAGGGTATGTACTGTTTGTTTTTGAATATACGTGTATAAATAAAACTCAGTCGACCTTTTTAAGCTAGGCTCTAAATGAAATTGGCTACGAACTCAATATGACCGTGGAAGAGGTTAAGAAAAAAATCAAGTCTCTGAGAAGTACGTACACACTGGAAAAGAAAAAGGTGGAGCAGAGCATACTGACTGGAACTGATCCAGATGATATGTATATACCTACCTTGCATTGGTATGGGGAGATGACATTCTTGGATGATCATATAACGCAAAGAAAGCGAAAATCTAGTGTTAATGGTGTAAGTACTTTGTTTCAGTTGTTAATATGTTAACCTTTTTAATATTTTACGTTAATCTGAAATTTAATGGTGAATAATGTGCTTGTTTTGAAAAATGCAAATGACTACAGGATAGAACCATGACATGCTTTCTGGGTCGATCGTTCGATACATGTAATTTAAACCGCCAAATTACACCTCAAGCTGCTGAAATGTATAATTTAAAGAAAAATAAAAGTATAAAATTTAGAAATCAGATGGGCTTACTGGTCGACCTTCTGTAGGCCTTGAACTGGCTTGCCTTCCCCGAGTAAAAAGGGACAGTTCAGTACACTCACAATAGCATTCATCTATAATAGTGTATCATCGTTTATTTAAAGAACATTTTTTATTAGAAGCTCATTGGAAAGAACTTTTATTTAGCAACTGGATTCATAAATGCACCAACATCATTATTATAAGTCTTCATGATTTTCAGTATTTTCATGGTTTATGAAAAGGTCACGCAGGATTTGATTTAATTTTATCAACTTAAAGTCAAGATTTGTTGTTGCATCAAATCCTTAGAGAAAATCAAATCCTTCAAAGAAATAAAAATGTTGGCAAAGTTTTCCTTTACATACTTTAACAAAAACACAGAATTTTACAAAATCAATTGTTTGCTTATCCAAACAAAAAAGAAAATCCAAATAGACTTTCCCAAAATGTTGTGCTCAAATCTCCTTTAGTTTATCGAAAATTTTTTTTTCTATTCCAGGAACATACTGATGAAACAATATTGTTGGAAGACTCAAACACCCAGTCATATGATTCAGACCAAAGCCTAACAATACAGTCGGTTCGTAAAAGACAATACAATGTTGAAGTTAATACAGAACAAGTTGACGAAGCAAATAGAGAAATTGTAAATACGCGTAAAATTGACGCTTTCAGTGCATTTGCGGATAGCATGGCTATGACATTACGCACAATGCCGGAGAATATTGCTTATAAAACAATGGCAGAAGTACAAGAATTATTGTATCATCGAAAATTTGGTATAACAGCTAATGGCGATACAAAATCCCAGAGTGAAAACTACATCATACCCAACATTCAATCGGATACGAATGAAACGGAGGTTTTATTTGACATAGTCAAAGAGGAAATAGACTGAACTTTGTTGCCTAGGTATAGGACTTTATTTTGTTCCATGTGTACAAATAATAATTTTAAAATTTTGTTTTTGTTCTTTGACAATTTTTACAAAAATCGCCATCCAAAATCAAAAATCTGAAAGTTGTAGCCAGCAACTACAACTTGTAATCTATTAATCTGTCGAATAAACCTCAATATCATGAAGCCCCGCTTTTTATGCTGATATGAAAGTAAATGCGAAATAAAAACACGTTCTCAAATTAGTTTATTTACTTGTTTGGTTTTTTTCGACGTGAACCAACATTTTGAAAAACAAATTTGGAATTGTAAATTTTTCGTATTCGCTTTCGTATTTATATAACAAAGCAGGTCATTGTGATTAACATTGGCTCATAAATTTCCTTTCTCATTTCGCTTGTCCACAATAAATAGGAACTGAAAATTATCTGAATATGAAAAATGGAACAAGTTTTCCTTTAGGTACATGACGAAAAAGATTATGCTTTTACCGGTGATAGTTTTTCCATGCTTATTGACATTAATTTTTGCGAAATGTGATATGAGCCACTAAAGTTCAGATTCCAGGGAAAATTGAACAAGACACAACAATATTGGTCTGTTTCAGAACTGCAAAAATGTAAAATTTTTTACTACGATAACAGATTTTCGCTTTATGATATCGAGCAAAATTGCAAATTTAGTAGATTTTTGCAGGTTCTGAAACAGAGCATATGTGTATGGTTTGAAAATATCTGAAATTTTATTGCTCTGTTCCGGTTTTTGCAAGAATCTATCAGTTTTGCAATTTTTTCGATATCACAAGGAAAACCCCGGTTAGCGTAGTAAACATTTTTACATTCTTGCACTTCTGGAACATGGCATATATAAAAAGTAAAAAACCCCAGTTATGGGTGCACAAACTATTCAAAATAGCGTCAATTACTTTTCTAGAAGCAGAGTTATTGGAATAAACCAGAATTATGCAATAAATCCTGATAATGTATGTGTATATAGGCTCAATAGCCTACCCTACCTTATATGTGATTGCATCATGTTATTGTATGGATGCTAAAAATATTGGCCAGGGCCTCAATTCTTGTTCTATGAAAATGTGAAATGAAGACTTTTATAAAGGAAAGAAATGTCAAATGAAAAATTTTATAAAGGAAATATTTTTTATTTCATATATTCATAGAACAAGAATCCAGCCCCAGGTTCTTATTGACACCTAAAACTGGTTCTATGTAGGCATATACGAAGGTTTAATTTATTGACTTATTTAAATCATTATAATGATAAAAACAGAACTTCACTAATATTATGTAAGACTTATGATTATACTGTATGATCACTATTTACAATAAATGTTTGTAGCATTCACGGCAAAATTACAGAAGGTTTTCTTTCGGTACCCTATCCTGTCAAAACATATACACATTTTGTGTATGTGTGTGTATTGTTTTGAAAAATAAATACCTATGGTACAATAAGGATGTAGAACAGCTTCGTAAAACTACAGAAATACAGCCCTGAGGAATATGCCCGCTTCTTGTCAGAATTATTCAAAATTGTAGGTAAAAAGTGGTTTTCAGTTATTTGATATTATTGGTACATTTCTAAAATGAGTCAAATAGCGCGAAAGATGAATGAAATGTCTGGATGTTCTCTCAAGAATATGTTCCTAAGTGTTCAATCTTTCAATTCCATGGCAAATATGGTTAATATTATTAATGCGAGCGCCGCAATTTAAATTTCTTCCATTCATTGATTTTGAAAACATTTTGTTTTTATTTTTCAAAACAACAAATACATACACAAAATTGCCAGAAGACGGGCACACATCGAAAAAAATTGTAATTAGTCGGTAGATCTACCTTACCTTTTTATTGTACCATGATTGCAAACAAATGCACATATGGAATATGAAAGTGTTATAGGCAAATGCAGAATTGCAAGAATGTAAAAGTTTTTACTACGATAGCCAATTTTCCCTTTATGGCATCGAAGAAAATTGAAAAACTGGTAGATTTTTGCAGGTACTGGAACATAGCAATTAATATGTCAAATTTAAACCGCTTTCCATTACTCGATCTATATATCCCTAAAATCAGATGTTAATGCACTGTTTCTAGATCCCTAAAATCAACAAATTTCCAATTTGCTTTTGCTCTTTTTCTATACAGAGAGACCACTTTATAAGTTTGTTGTGCTCCTCTATTCTAAACAGAGAATATTCTCTTCTGTTTTGTTTCAATACTATGTTTATTGGTTAAATTCTTTTTCTCAACTTTCTGTGTTTGTGTGTCATTTGACATGACAGCATATTTGACATATTTGTTTCGTGGACTGATTCTATCTACGTCCCTTGAAAATCTTTTGTTTTTACACAAAAACCTATTTCAAAACCCGGGAAAACATGGATTTACAACAGCTGGAAGAGGAGGCACGCCAGGCTGCTTTAAAAGACATTAAAAACATGCTGCAACGTCCGGGACAGTTGGAAAAAGTTGAACAGTATCGTCATCGAGTGGCCCGAAAAAAAGCTTCCGTTGAGGCACTGCTCAAGACCGGAATGCAAAACCAATTAGAAGGAGTACGGGTTGGTCTGAAACAGCTAAAAGCTTGTCTGGAAGATGTGAGGGAGGTAAAGCGTAGCATCAGTGAAGTGGAAAAGTTAATGCAGGGCGTACCCGAACTATACGATGCACTGGAAGATGTACGTGAGGAAAATACCAAACATTCTCAATTGGCCACTGCTGTGGAGAACATCAAACACATATTGAATGTGGAGTCGAGTGTTCAAAAGACAATGGCTCTAATCGATGAGGACAAGTTGTTAAACGCCCATCAATGTTTGGCTGACTTGGAAAATGCCCGAGATGATTTGTTGTATGAACTGCACAAACAACCGAAGCAGCATGCTTCTGATAGAATAACGCTGAAGACTCATTTTGAGAAAATTGATAGCGTGGCCCAGGCTCTGGAGAAGAAACTTCGTCTGATACTGAGTCGAACACTAAATACGGTACGTAAGGAACCGAAGTACATTGTTACGGCCTTGCGTATAATTGAACGAGAGGAGAAGAACGATCAGTTTGCCCTGCAACAGGAAAAGGTGACTTCATTTAGGCCACCTGGACGTCCACGTCAATGGCGGGCTATGGCAATGAATGTCCTCAAAGAAGCTGTGGTGACACGTATTGAAGGTTCCCGGGTGGAGGAGAGGGAAGATAATAAAATGTGGTTGGTCAAGGACTTGGAGATGCTGCGGCGGAATATTTTGGTCGACTTAAGAGTGGTGAAATCTTTGTGTGTGCCTTGTTTCCCACCGCACTATAATATATTTGAGGAATATGTACGGATGTACCATGAGGCATTGTCGAACTATGTAAGTCAATGTGAGAGGTTATGTGAAAAACGGAGTTTTTTTTTAAAGTTGTTCTCTTTTACAGATTGAAAATATTGCCAGTGGGTTGCAGGGCAATGAATATGTTTCCTTACTTTCCTGGGTCATCAACACCTACCCCGGCTATGAACTAATGCGCCATCCTGACCTAAATGTTAACATACAACAATTGGTGGGTCCGCTATTGCCGCCCAGCCGCCTTCGCACTTTGGAAGATGAATATTTGGGCAATATGCAAAAGAATTTCACTGAATGGATGGCAAATACAGCCGAAAAAGATCGTTCTCAATGGTTCTCGGAAGAGACACCCGATCAAGCTGAACAATATTATCACAGTCCTGCAGCAGTGATACTTTTTGAAATGATCAATCAACTGCTGCAGGTCACTGAAACAATACACAGCGATTTGACATTCAAAGCTCTTGTCATGAGCGTACGACAGTTGGATATTTTCGGCCAAACTTATTTGAAATATGTGGTCGAGTTGAAGGAGCACCACTTCCCTAAACGTGATCAAATTAAATTTTTTACCCATCACATAATAGCTATTGTGAATAACAGCCAACAGATTTTGGATTTGGCCCAACAGCTAAAGCAGAAATATTGGCCCAATGCTCGTACCGAACATTACGAAGATTTTGAAAAATTGCTTGAAACATTCCAACTTATTCGTACACAAGCAGCAGGCTACCTACTGGAAGAGGCCTTTTTGGATTTGGATGGCTATTTCAATGAATTATTCAAACCAGAATGGCTGACATCTACTATCTCCGTAGATACCATATGCATAACGTTGGAAGACTATTTTCAGGATTACAATCATTTGACGCCTTGCAATTTCGAAATGGTCATCAACGAAGCTCAAAAACAATTGGCCAAACGTTATATACGCGCCATGCTTTCGAAACGTCTATCCCGTCCCACATCCGACTGTGAAGCGATAAAAACCAAGATCACTCAAGAAGCCAAGCGTCTGGAGAGGTTCTTTGAAAAAATCGCACCGAATCTTTCGCTAAACGATTCTCCCTTGAAATTAATTTCAATGCTCTCGGGACTTTTGGTGTGCGATCTGGAAGTTTTACTCCTAGATTTACACACTCTCTTGGGTAATTATCCCTCTTTGACAGAGGAACAAATTGTACGTCTATTCTATATTCGTAACGATGTTAAAGCAGCCGAAGTAAGACAGAAAGTACAGGATGCAAATCAATCGAAGAAACCGATGGTTACAATCGACAAGCAAGATTTGATATTTAAAGAAATTGTGTTCAACGATAAATTGTGGTAAATATAATAAATATTCCTTCCTAAAAATGTTACACCGGCAGACACAAGGTCACCTGCAAACGTGTGTACTAGTATTATAATACATATAAAACGAAATGTAAAAGGGCATAACAATAAATATTTTATAAAGTCAATAAAATGTTTATAAAACATAGAGTGATGTTAAATCGATTGTTAAAAGAAAAAATAACCAGACTGAAAGAATATAAATTAATCTAGAGGCCATAAAAGAGGATTGTAATAATGTACGATTTTTTTTTTAATTTCTAACTTGTGAAAAAATGCATTGATGATGAGATAATTAGACTAAGTAGAGTTTTTTTTTGGAGCGTCGCAGAAGTGGCGTCTTAGGGAGAGAGCGAGAAACACACTGACTAATGCTTGTAGGGATTTGTCGTACATATCTAAGACGTAACTGTTGTGAACATTAAAGTTTGTCGACGCCGAGTCTGAACCTTCGGTTTTGTAGAAGAGTTTGGAACTCGAGTGACTTTCGCTCTCTACTCGAATTCGAGCGTCGTTACGCCTGCGTGTGAATACAAGCGTAATTTATTTTTCCATCTCTCTGTTCGTTTCCAATTGGAATTCGAATACGCTTGAAATCGAGCAGATTCTTCTTCTGCCGAGTACTCTTTTGGTTTTTATCATTTCGTTGTTGTATTTATGTGTGTATTTCCTGAATCCAAACCAAACACGTTGCAGAGTATTGTCGAATATATATTTAATATGTGATAGGCTTGTTTATTTTGTACACAAAATCCACCGGCCCTTTGCTTCTGCTGTTTTCATATTAATAGCTTTTTTACACAATCCTCCCACAGCAACATCGAAACCTGTTTGATGCTAAACAAAGACTGTTTTCGGCCACAGGATTTGTTATCTATTACGAGTCTCAAAAAACAATTGAAACATTTCCATGAAAAATGTGGGGAAAATCACAAAAACACTGAATATTGGTTGGTACCGTGGGAACTATAGAAAGGCAATCGTATTATTGGTGTACTTCTGGAATAGACTAAAGAGTGTATAGACAATGGGAAATTACTATAGCTTTTTATGCCGGTGGCTCTCAGCACGCATTTGCATAGTCAACATGCTGATTGGCGCAATCGACCTACTCGACTTCAAAAACACATTTATTGATTTTTCAAGAATTGGACGTGATTGTTTACGTACTTTCCGATGTCATCATCTACCTTTCACTTATTTTCTAATATCCTACATTTCATAATGTTTTTAACATTTTAGAGTTGATTGACTTCAAAATTTTCACCCATACAGTTAAAAAAATTTAAAATTCTGTGTCTTCCCGTGAGCGGTACGTTAATCGATTTGTTTGTTTTCGCACGCTGGCCATGGCCATAACATACCCAAAACGCCAGCGTCATACATTGTGTTCAATGTTGTCTGACGCTGTTGTACATTTTGTAGACTTTCCCCAACTGTCTAATTTAAAAACGTGCTTTCATTTACTCTCTCTACATATGTTTATCCATTGAGTACATGTTGAGAGAACAAGGATGGGGATAAGCAAACAGACACACTCACCAAGCACAGAAAGGTAAAGAATTCATTGAACTGCTGGTGAGTTGTTGCTGCCCTCTGCTACAGTTACCATTTCTTCTCTACAAATATTCAAGTGAGATAGGCCCACCACATAGGAAATTTGATTAAAGCTAAGAAATCAGTTTGTTAAGAGAAGTATTACAGAGCGCTCTGTACAAGAAATATTTGAAAGAACGCGCGTGCTGCGTGCTGACTTGACCGACGTTCGCCTTGTCAAATAGAAAAACAGAATAGTTTTTTGTATTATCATTTTTTTTATTTTGTTGTTGGAGTCCAAAGCGAAAGCAAAGTAAGCCCACATTCTATACTAAATTTATTGCTTTAGTCTTGTGGGCTAAGTGAAGAAAATGGAGTGTAATTGAATATGTATAAGCTTGAAATTTAAGTGAAATAAAAGCAAGCAAATATAGCTAAAATCAAGTGAGTGAGTGTGAGAATAATTGAAAAACACACAAAAGATATAAGAAAATTAAATTGAATTGATGCCTAAACGAAAAAGAATTTGAAAAAATGGTTTTGTAACATAATTTTGTCATGCGGCGGGATGAGTACAAGGGTCTTTCATTCTCTTCTAAACGTAGATTCCGACTGGCTGGCTGTCTGGAGTTCACACAATTAATAATCACATAAAACTGCGACAGTAAACACACGCACCATTCAGTCGTTGAATGGTAGTGCGTACTGTCAGGCATCTTCAAACAAAAAATCTATTTTAAAATCTATCGCAAGGATGTTTTATTGGTATGACTTGATTATCATCTTACCGCCTATATTTGTAGACTTGAACTACAAAGAAAAAATATTCAAGTACTCAACCACAACATGCCCAGCAACAAACCCCAAATTGAATCATGCAACAAAAACAACAACAAATGCCAGGTATTTTCGAATGCTGCAAGCAGGAAATAAAAACAGCAACAATTTTTTTTCCAAACTCTCCTGCAAATGTTGCCAGATTGTTCCGTGGTATCTAAAAAAAGGATACTTTTGGAAGTTTGAATGGGTGAAACAGAAACACATTGCTTCCTTCGTTGGACAAATTTATAAATCGCAACAGAGTCAGAATTCTAGAGCGGCTCTGATATTCTTATACAATTTGATATTTACAAGCAAGAAAATGAAGCGAAACGTTAACTATGTTTTGACCTTTAAAGCGCTTAGTTAGCTGAGGTAAAGAAATCCTTTAAAAATATAGGTTTCAGTATTGCATACAATAAAGAAATCCCTTAATAAATATGGCCATTGTCACCAAAACACCAAATATCGTGATAAAGCTCTTCTTAAAACCAATAGTTCTATCGGGCCATTCATCATTAAACACCTATATATAGGTTTCAGGATTCCGTACAATAAACAATTTCCTTGAGAAAGTGTAGAAAAAATCTCCGCATATTTGCTGAAAAAAATTGTCCTTACCATCGAGGAAATTCTGTAAGCTAGGCTGAAAATTGTCTTCAAGAGTGGAAAATTACTGGCTTAAAACTATAGCTTAAATTGTTCCCATATAGAGGCCATTTATCCGCCATGATGCTGAGTCAGATATAGAGACTTCAGCAGAAAACTGGTTGCGGTGTACACACTTGCCGAGGGGGTTTTATATCTGAGATCTTCAGACAGAAGGGGAGACGAATTGGTTGCCACAGACGAAGTTAGAGGAAGAATTTAAGCTTGTTCCGGAGTCGTGCAATGAAGTTGTTGAGCATAATATGACAGATACAGACTTAAGCTTGAAGGAAGATCCATGCTAAAAACTTGAGATTGTGCCAAATACCCAATTTAAGATATCATACGCTACTGCACGTGAATGAAGTTTTAGTGAGGGAGACTGGCGATTCTTTGAGTCATGATCAGATGACCGTTAAAGATGGAAATAACAAATTTGACCTGCTATTAGAGGAAGCAAAGCGGGAAGTGACGGAACTACGAGCAACGAACATAAAGCTTGAATGTAGCCTGAAGTTTGCTGTAGATGCGAATTGTTAGTCTCAGAGAAAGGATGTAGATCCCGGTTTAACACCCCGATTCGTTGCTTTTGCTTTCTATCTGAAAAGTAGTTATAATGCACTGGTAAAGTGACAAAGAGAAGGTTTTAAGATGTTGGCAATCTCAAGGTCTGTTGACTGCGAACACAGTCGTGTCATTTACTCAGCTTTTTAATTTTCTTTTATAGTAAAATAACCAACAAAGCCGGAGAGTTGCGTGCAGATTTTAGACACCCAAGGACTGCATAGAAATCGATTGTAAGTGCCGCTTGGCTATCCACAAAAGGTGTGTAGTTTTTATTCTCCAATATAACTGATCACTTCATGAAGAGTTGTTTCAACGAGTTGCTCGCCTGTTTTTATATCCATATCTGTCAGTCGTTCCAGGGCCATTAGAAGAAATGATGATAGCTGATTGGTCTAGTCTGACTTTCGGTGTAGTGTCACTGTAACCTCTCCATAGACGAGGCAAATATAAGTGATACAGACAAACTTTTTAGATGGCTTCCAGGGTGGTGTATACAAGTGATGATTTATTTTGTATAATCGATGGCATAACGCCATCCGATCATAAGGCTTCTCTTTGCCAGTAAGTCCTTCTTGGATTTCTATAGGTTTTATGAATTCATTCATCTGATACTTCCCAGTTCCTGATTGAATCGTCCAGGATTGTTAGAGTGGCCTTAAACGTCTTAGTTGAACCCTGGTTACATATTCGGAGGTTATATTTAAGTATAAAATTAAACAGCGGATCAGATAGCACACACCATGGTAGAATCAAGAAGGTAAATTCATGCAAACATACATATGTCTACAATTTTTTCAAAATAATTCGTTTGACAACATCTCATTGTCAAAATATATATTTATAAATCCATTATGAATACACAAATCGGAGATGGAAACCTAATTTTTATGCAGTGAAATTTGACAAGGTAAATTACAGAGAATGCAGAGATGGGTATGCTTTTTTGAAATGACATTATCTTCTAGCATGGCACACACATTTACTTGGCGGATTAGAGTCCTCATATGACCGAGGGTGAGATTATTTATTAGGCCGACGAGGAGGTCAGTTAGGCTGGAACCACTCGGTAGCATCTCATTTATGAGGTCGAGGATTTCCTCACTGTGTACGGCTAGTTCATTTTTGGGTGTCACTGGCTTACGGCAACTCCATCAGACTGGGTGGAGTTTAGGGGCGCCAATCATTCGCCTCGTAAGTTAGGACAGCAGTCCCAGACTGCTTATTTGATTCACAACTACCCAAAAATCTATTGGACATTCCACTATCCTGTCCCTGAAGGCGGAGAAAACTTTCATGCCAAATTTTAATGCCCCTATTGAAATAATTTAGACTGCATATTGATTTCAACTGACAGAATGAAGGCAGATCATTACATCGACTTACAATGTTATGATGATCATATATATTTTATTGATAAATTTGGTGGAGGGCAAAAATACGGAACTGGATATTATTTGAATTAATTTACCTTTAATCATTTGTACTATGGGTTGTGTTTAAATAATATTACAAACAGCAATGTCAGTCATTCTTAAAGTTTCTCCTTGATTCCCTTGACAACATCTTACCTGTGGAACTTTCCCATATTGATTCCTAACTCTGGCAACTCTTCGCTCTCAACCACCAATACATTTTTTTGTTTGGTTGCTTAACATGCTCTAGGCCAGATAGCTATTCGTGTCTGACTCAATAATCAAATGTGTGGTACGCCCATGTTGGCTATGATGTTATTTAGTCCTAATAAACATCATTTATCCTGCCTGACCCTGATGTTAGAAATCTCGACTCGGTTTACACATTTCGACAAACATTTCTACAACAAGAACAGCAACTGTAACATGGCTAGTTTAGAAAAACAAAGTTAAAATTTTTTAAAATGCCGACAAAAGTGGACTACAACATTTAACTTTTAAATAAAACTTGCCTGGGTGAAAGTTTTTAGATTCTTGTTGTTGTTTTGAGATGGGGAATGTTGTTGTTGGCTCTTCTTTATTTTATTTTATTTTGTTTTTGCATATTCCTTGGACGGTAATGAAAATAAAAACAGCTGTTGGTTGTTTGTTTTTGTGTTTATCGCAAAATATTGCGATTTCAGATTTCAAATGTAAATTTCATGTTTGACCATTTTATGTGCCAAGGACAACTGTTCTCTTGGCTCGAGGGTAAATGTTGGACACAAAAAAGTTTGCTTTGCATCGCAAAAGTCAAAATGCAACTTGAGAAATGTTGAACATGAAATTAAAAAAGACGTGGGCACTCCAATTTCGAAAACTTGTTACAAAACAACCGAAGTTAAAATATAGATTTAAATTCCTCTATTGGGATGGTTTTAAACAAATGTGAAAAAGGAAAACATTTGGCGTAAGCTTAAATTAAGGCAGACGATAAGGGGAGGCCTAGGATGCATTAATTGTTGAACATTGTTAAATAAATAAGTAAAATAGATATGTACGCCATGCTAGCATTCCTTGTGTTCACATTTTCTACAAACCCAGAGGAGAAAATCTCAAGCCCCGGCCGAAGGCCGTCTATTTACAAATGTTTACAATTTAGAAAATGTTTGTAATTCCAACGACGGCTACGCGAATTAAACCTTTTTTTATTGAAAACATAATTTTAATGAACTGGTTAGGTCTGGACCCGAAAAAGAAATTGTAGCATTTTGGAAAGGTAAAAGTGTCAGATATAATTTTGCATCAATTTTGTTGACCCCCATAGCTATAGAATTAAAAGCGTCACTTGGAAAATATGTTTCTGCAGACACGACATGTACAGGGTGAGATAAAAAAACTGCAACAAAGTCAAACGCCACAATTTTACCTTTTTTTTAATTTTATTGAATGAAAGCAAAAAATGTCGGAAATAGCATAAAATTTTAGAACAAGTTTAGATTTGTTCGGATTGGTCACCTTTGGCACGAATTATGGCCTTCAAATGGCCAAGGAAACCGTCACACGCTGCCCGAATGTTGCTCTGTGGTATTTGGGCCCATTCCCGGCGAAGTGCTTGCTTGAGGTGATCGACACTTTGTCAACCTTGCTTTCCAAAATATTCCAGACACAATAGTCCAACGGATTGGTATCCGGAGATTTTGGTGGCCATTTTGAGCTGAAAATGAAGCGAGGAACCTCATTTTGTAACCATTCTTTGGTGGCGCGTCTGAGTGCGATGCTTCTGACTCTTGTTGGAGTGTTTGCGTGCCCAAGGTAGCCTCCAGAATATTTTCGCGATAATATTTGGCATTTATTCTGATGCCACTTTCGATTAATACGAGCGGAGAGCGACCATCGGCTGTTATGGCGGCCCACACTATCACCATGGCCGGCGCTTGAGTTCTGGTGGCCAACCCAAGGTGCACATTTTCAGCTGACCTCTTTGGCAAGTATATACGATCATTTTGTTTGTTTACA